AAGTAAATGTCGAATAATGACCGAGATATGACCTTGACAAGGTGACGAAAATGTACGAGTGATATCTTCAGCAAATGTCAACCGAATGAGGGCGGGGTGATGCTTGCGATCAGGGTTCAATAGGGCCGACAAGTACACAAAATATCAGTTCAAAATGATCGAATATAACACCACTTCAAGGGGGGTACGTACTTTTGTCCACGACTGTACATATTTAATGCAACATTATACTATAAATATTTTTTCAACTTAGAGAGACGAAATCTATTTTTTTCTATCAAGTTAAATTAAGAAACTTACTTCATTGTAAATATTGGATGGCGATGAGACATGTTCATTCATGGTCGAAGGTTCAGTTAAACTTTCTACCAGATTCGTAACCATTGCTTGTTGTCTCTAAAAGGATCGATTAACAATTTTGTATTTCCAACTGTTGGCCAAATTTTTGAGTGCTTTATTGAGATAATGTGAATCTTCAAATAAAACTCCATAGAGAAGACGAGAACATCGATTGTGATGACCGAATCGAATTTCAAAAACGTAATATAGTAATAAAAGGAGTGCGAGAGCTGTTGAACAAGAATTAGTTTATGTTACGAGGTGAAAATCGAGATAAAGCTCGAACTTATCAAGAATTTTCATATATGGGTAAGGTGTAAGTACTTCCTATATAGAAAGTTAAAAAAGCATGTTTTTTTATAAGTGAAAGTTTAATTGACAGCTTACCTGATATGTAAAAATATTACTCACTGAATCACCAAATAGTTTACATAGAGTACGAACAATTCGAATAGGTAAAACATCTAGATTGAAAATTATATAAATTTCAACGTTGATTAAAAAAATTTCTTTCCCTGAGGAAAAAGTGCATAAGAGAGAATCACTCGAGTTCTTCTATAGATTAAAATATGTTTTTATTGGACCAATGGTTAACCATCATGAAAACCCAAAAAAATTACTTCAGATTTCGAATAAAAAATTATTCTAAAAAAAATTGGCAATTTGATACTTCGAAACATGTAGAAATATATGTTCAATCTAACTAAAAAATTCTGTTCTTTTTTTCAAAATTTTACCTCATAACAAACAGTTATTATTCGGTACATAATCGAAAAACGTTGGCAATAAAACACTGACATTTTCTTCGATATCAATACCAGTAGATTCTTTTACTGCAGCCAAGACCTAAAAAACTTGAGCAGAATTTAATTAAGAATTTAAATGACCTTTGAAAACAAGAGAAAATTTTGTTAGAATGATTAGTTTAACGTGTAATCTCTACTGTTTTTTTTTTATAAAAAAAGATTCATATATTAAAGTTAGTCCTTTGCATTAAAAGTATAACGTGTATAACTTTAAATCATAGTGTCAATGTATAGAAAAATATGTAAAAGTGGAATGTTTTTTCAAAAACATTATGAAAAACAGCTGGCTTTAAGTAGAAAATCTAACGAGTACGATATCCCATTAAAGTAGAATTTCATCAGGATTCACGAAATATTTCTAATGAAAAACTCTTAGTCATTGAAATAAACTGTTTTAATGTAAACTCAAAATCAATATTTTTATTATAAGATATCTTGGTTCAGATACTTTTCAAGAAAGATATAGTCGAAACTTGCTATATTTGCACGATGAAGACAAATAAATTTATGAACTAAAATATCAGTTGCCTTTTGAGACAAACTAATTCTCTATATACCAACTTTTACAAAAAAAACAACTTTTATCAAAGTACAGTCGATAATGCTTACCATTTCTGAACGGCAATAACCTGGAAGACGTTCAAGTATTTCATCTATTTCTAATTCACGAATACATAGACGACGAATATTATATGATTGTTTCCAAAGATCATGAAGCAGATAATTGTTAGGATCATCTTTAAGTAATTCCATTTTCATTTGATTGACCATGACCAATCAATTTTCATTTTGTCGATCAGCTAAATTAATCAATGGCCACAAGAAAATGATATGATGTACCATTCAAAATTATATGAAAACTTACTATGTCAATAATATGACGTTCAGCTTGTAAAATTGTCCTTTTTTTCTTCGGTCTTCCATTCGTTTTACCATTACCATATGTATTTTGTTTACTTTTCACAACATTATTACTAATTTGTAAAGATCTACGTTCACGTTTTAATTTTTGCTTTATCGATTCATGCCAGTCTTTCTAAAATAAAAGCAAATATTCAATGAATTTGTTAGTTTTTTTCTTACGACTGAATCATAGAATAATGATGAAGGAATACGAAGTTTCTTTACCAAACATTTAGCCATTGTCAGATATTCATCATTAGTCGAATAAATAAATGGAAAGAAACAAAAATATGGGGATTTTTTTTATAAATAATCCCTTACAGTAGTTGATGAGATTTTGTTACATCATCAAAAATTGATGATAATAATTCACGTCGCATCTTTGTGTGTGGATTAAACTTTGAGATATGATTCTGTTCAATATACTCTTCCATTCTGATAGTCAAATTTGGTCCTTCATAATCATCTGGTAATATAGCTTTACTATGAATATCTGCATCATGATTAAGAGGAAAATTTGATGAAGAATCAGGATCTGTTGTTGAAGCACGACTATTAGTTTCTATATTTTCATTTGCATCAAACGAATTTGGTATATCATTCTTTTCTAATTCATCATAAGGTTGAACCAATGGTGATGTTGAATTAGATACATCAACAGTAGCTGCATGTTTATCTGCTCGTTGTTCATTAAAGTTTAAGATTAATTTTGTACGTTGATCAACAAATTTTACACGATCTTTTATTTGAGGAAATATTTAAATAAGATCATTTTGTTGAAGTAAAGCTAATGTTGCACCATCAATATCTTCGTCTAAAACAGAAAAATAATTCTTTTAGTTTAGTTTTAAAAAACTAGCTACATAACAACTAAAGACATCACAAGATGACAATCTAATCAAACATTTTTTTCTTTCCTCTTGATAAACATAAAAGAGAAAAACATTTTTTAATGTTCAGTTACACGGGTTAATACATTGATATAATTTGTTTGTTCAATAACATACATATCGAGACAATGAGGATATATATTAAAACAATGTTCCATATCAATTTTAATCAACTTTCCTGTAAATTCAACTTCATAAGACCATAGTTTCTCATTAAAGGCAACTGTATCTAATGTTTCGGCAATAACAAACCATTTTCCGACGATGTTTAATATATAATGAACTTCACAAAATACAGGAACTTCTTCAGCATGTATTAGGTGATGAATCATTAAAGATTTTGGTCTAATATTAATATGATGATAATCGATTGATGAGCACTCACATATTAAATCTGTTTCTTTGACATCATCGATCAATAAACGTCGAATAGGAAGAGAAAGCTTGAAGTATTTGATTGATTTAGACGATCGAATTGTTATCTATCAAGAATAAAAACATGAATGTGACGTGTTCAACATACAATGACGCAATTGACGACGTTTTGAAAGAGTAAGTAAAGGATTTTTAAAGTTAAAAGCCCGAATAGCAAGTTGCTTAAAATAAAGATGTTAAGATTCAAAACGGATGCAGGAATTCAATATAGGAAGTCCATCCATTTCAATAGAACGAGGAGATTCAGTGATGAAGTGAACTTTTGGAGTTGCATAGTCAGGTAAAAGTTCGATCATTAGAGAATAAAATTGTTTATATAATCCATCTGAATACGGTAACCAGGATTTTCTAATTGGATTGGCATAGATATAACTGATAATTTCACGTAATATAATGTAAACATGAAATAGAGTAAGATCATCTATAAAATCATGGAATATGATTGGAAATAACCGAAACAAGCATAATTTGTGACTCGCAGAACCAAAAGTATTCGAGTGTGTTAGATGTTGCTTTCTAATAGGAGGAGGTTTATTAGACGAATCATAAAATTTATAAACAAAACATGATGTACGTTGTTCAATTTCTGCATAGGTCAGAAGACGATGTTGAATGGCTTCTTTCAATAAGACATTTATAACAAGTGGATATACACCTCAATAACAAAACAAGAAACATTACATTTTCCTATTTAAGCCGTATTATAATAAAAATTAGCAGAAGATGTTCGATCCAGATATAATCTCAATATCGACTACAAATCATTTAAATGATTTATATTCTGTTTCTTTTTGCTTTTACAAAGAAAGTCGGTCTTTCTCATAGGAAATTTCTTATTTTTTCATAAAGTATAACCTTCAGTAAAATCATGTATTACATCTGGTGGTAGTGATTCTGTTGGATGAAAACCGATAAGATCTTTAAACTAACTATGACCTTTAATACCTTGAATAATTTGACGACCATTGTTGAGTACAACTTGATTAAGAATCATATCGTGCTTTAAACGAGTGCGAGGTACGAATGATATATCAGTTAATGGAATATGTTTTTGTTCATAAATGATGAAACAATGTCGACAGAAGCTTCCTGAGCTGAAACTTTTCTGAAAATCACCAACTTCGTTGGATGCCAAATTATCACCACAAACGGAAGAAAAAACGAAATAAATTCTACTGGAAAAACAGGATATTGTGATACCATCAGTTTGAAGTTTATTAAGATCTTCAACAAGGACGTTCATTAAGATCGTTCTACTGTTGTCATTATTCAAATGTTTTGTATAGCAAATACAATGTAATCCAATGGAATTAACTTGTGATCGAATGACTTCAGATAGATCATCTAAGAGATAATAAAAACAAGTAAACTTATGTGAATCTTTGTTGGGACCTATTAGATTTGTAATGGAAATACCATCTGTGTATACTTTCAGTAATAAAACATTTAAATTTGTTTGACGACGAAGGTTTGTTTTTACGAAATGACTTTGTCGATTAGATAAAACTAGATCTTAATCTTGAGCTGCACGACTTGATAAAGAATTGATATTATCGATAATAGCTTATAAAAGTTGACCATTTTGAAGTGTATAAGACAGACTTTGTTTCAAAGGAACAGAATAAGCGAGTTCATTAGTTGGATCTAATACAATTTCAGTTGGGGGTTGATAATTGAAATGTTTTTTACATTGTTTTAAAAATTGAATTGATCATCAAAGTGACGTGTGCAAAAGCAGTTTCATAATTAGTAACAGAGAGAAATGATGATGATGATGCTTTTGTTTTGACTAATTTGATAATCATGTGAAGTAATTTACAGGTGTTACATGAAATCGACTGCACAACCTTCTGCGGAAGAAGGTGATGTTCTCGAAGTTCAAGAAGAAAATAGGCATAATATTGGGCAAGTTTATCGAAACTGAGTCGCTGATCAGTAAAAGGAAATGAAACGGAATCAAAAGAAGAAAATAAACGGTCTATTTCATTAAGTTCTTCGTCTGGATAAATACATGATTCAGAATCACCAATGCATTGTCACTGACTATTGAAAGCAAGATCAGAAAATAAATCTTCAATATTATCAAAAATATCATTGACATTGGATGATATAGTAACACTATTGTCAAACGAATCGATAAGAGAGCAATGGTAACGATAAATATGACTTCGGTAACTGTCAAAAGATGAATAACGAGATCCACACCACATACTTAATTCACATCGGATGCTAAAAGATGGTTCTTCACGATGTTCATCGCGAATATGAGCAAATAATGTTCGATAATGTTGAAAAACGTTTCGAGAGATACAAAGTGGACAAAAATAATGGGGGGTGTAACGATACGTAACGAGAAATTTACAGGGCTTTCGTAATTCGAAAGCCCTGTTATCGTTTTTTCTACACGGCTTTCGTAACGGATTTTGACATAGCTTTCGTAACGGATGTTGACACGACTTTCGTAACGGATTTTGACACGGCTTTCGTAACGGATTTTGACACGACTTTCGTATCGTTTTTGACAGGGCTTTCGTAATTAAGTTCTCATTGCATTCATAACCAGATCGAAAGACTGACACTCTATTAAAAGACAGAGTATTCGTTGCGAATATTCATGCTTACAAATATCTGTTAACTCATTAGATGGGATCCATTCGTAACAAGTGTTATGTACTTAAATGGTCCAAATACGTAGTACTATACTGAATTAATCATCTGTATACATTCATAGATGTCACTGTTATTTCGATGGCTGAATAGCGGATGACATCATTAAAAACAATAGACCAATAGGTTGACCGTAGCAAACAAATATTTTCTCTCTTTTCTTTCCAAACAAATTGTAGTCTTAGCAAAGTCACCATCACTAGCAGCATCGATGGGGTATGGGTGTGGGTGTGGGTGTGGGTGGTGAGGGTGTGGGTGTGGGTGGTGAGGGTGTGGGTGTGTGTGGGTGTGGGTGTGAGTGTGGGTGTGGGTGTGGGTGTGGGTGTGGGTGTGGGTGTGGGTGTGGGTGTGGACGTGGAAGTCGGTTTACAAGACCTCCCAACCGACTCCCACACCCACACCCCGTTACGATAGCCCTGTAAGAGCGGCACGAAGGCCCTGTTAAAATTGATACGAAAGCCCTGTAAACTTGATAGGAAGACTGTAAAAAACGACACGAAAGTCCTGTCAAAATCGATACGAAAGCCCTGTCAAAAATCGATACGAAAGCCCTGTTTTTCATGACTTATGCATTTTACATTGTTACGAATCGTTACCTTCCCAAATAATGTAATTGAGACATTTCGATGACTCAAAAATTTGAAATACTTTAACGATTTAGATAAATATGATCGCATAAAATTACTTAACTAAAAAGTTTCGAATAATATATTATATTCTTTCCTAACGAAAACTAGTACACTATGTTTCGAACCTATTTCTAAGGAACCAGCGTTTCACATTAACGAAAAAGTATTTCTTTTTCTTTCTTTCTTTACTGTGACACATCTTTTAAAATTGAACTTTCCTTCATAATCATTTTTCCAATTAAAAAGAGTATTTTTCACTTTAATGTTTTATAAAAATACACAATGATGGAGTTACTTTTTCAACAGTAATATGTCATTAACTAAATGAAAACAAGTGCATTACAATTACACAAAGCTGTAAGACAATAATAAATGATATAAAAAGCGAATTTTACCTCGAAAATAACGAATGATCGTTTCATCATAAATAAATGTTTGAAGCCAAGAAATAACATGAGTAGTTGAGAAATTCTCCATTGAAAAGAATCGCTTCTAAAAAATCAACAATATTCAGCATTTCAAATAAATAATCTATTTCAGTATATCAAATGCATCTTTTTTTATTCTAGCTGAATAAATGTTCACTTACCAGACTTAATAAATGAGAAGATGAACAATTAATGAAAAACAACAATTATCATAGAGTTGAGTAAGTTGATCTAAAAAAATAAATATTGAATCTTTAATTAAAATGATCATGTTTTTTGAAAAAAAACAGATGTCTTCTTTCTTATTTTACTTAAAGAAATCGTTACTTACGAGACTTAATAAACGATAACAAGGTGAACAATTTACGAAGAACAACAGCCGATGTTAAGTTGAATAAGTTGATCTGGAAAAAAAGATTGCAACTAAATCTTGAATTAAAATGATGATCTTTTAAGAAATAGACATGTCATTTCTTTTCCTAATTAAAGGAATCTTTACTTACTAGATTTATTAAATGACAGGAAGATAAACAATCAATGAAATACAACAATCAATATAAGCTTGAGAGATTGATCTAAAAAACAAATATTGAGTCTTTAATTAAAATGATCATGTTTTTCAGAAAAAAACATGTCTTCTTTATTATTTAAGTTAAACAAATCTTACCAGACTTAATAAATGACAAGAAGATGAATAATTAATGGAAAACGAAAAATAACGTAATCCTGAACAGTTGGTCTAAAAATATTATAACTAAATCATCGATTTAAATGATCATCTTTTTTCAAAAAAATAGGCATCTTCTTTGTTATTTGACCTAAATAAATCTTTACGTATGAGATTTAATAAATGAGAAGAAGATAAATAATTAATGGAAAACGACAATTAACATAAACTTGAACAATTGATCTAAAACATGTTATAATTGGATTTGCAAATTAAATCATCATCTTTTTTTCGAAAAACACGCCTCTTCTTTCTTATTCCAATTAAAGAGATCTTTGCTCGAGCAAATCGAATAAATGAAAAGATAAAACCAGTAACCATGGTCAGTTTAATTAGGTTGATCACAGAAAAGGTTTTATAATTGAAATTAAAATTTAATTTATAAATGATAAATGTTAAACGATAAATGTTGGACTTATATTCGATTGACTATCTATGTAAAATGCAATTTTGATGAACACTAACGACATCCTTGTGAAAAATGAAATGTATCGAAATATAGTGTAGAAAGAAAATTAACAGTTGTCATAGGTTTATCATAAATTGGTATGAATTCAAAGTGCGAAAGCAATAAAGTAATCAATGTTCAAATCGATCGTTAGTCAATTTATTGCTTTTAAGTGTTTTATCCAACGTTGAATTCATTCTCCCTCTTTAGAAACTTTTACTGCTGGCTAGTACCGCAATCTGAACGAAGTATCTAATCTATGCTTCCCTTCGCATCTTTCCACTAATCGTCTCACGTCACTGTGATTATGTCCAAATCCAAGATAAAAATATCTACTTATTTAATCTAACTAACATGTCACTTTTTATTTCTTTAACCGCTGACATTTTCTTTGCTTAATCTACATATTATATTAGCTATTTCTAAGACTTCTTAAGTGACTTTTATCTTTTGTCTTATTATTCAAATAATTTCGCGGTTTATTATTCATTTTAATTTATTCTTGAGACCTTTGTAAATTCATCTCCTCATGATCGTTCTCGCATTCTTGTAAAACCTTCATCTTGTGAGCATTGCTGCGTTGTTTAAACTACTGTAAAAAGAAACATTCTTAAATAAATATTGTACTAAATCTAACACGGAACACTTCTTGGTTAAAAGAAAGAAACTTCTGATAACATTTAGAATCACATACTGTTTTGTAGGAACTATCCGAAACTTGTCAACATTACAGAAAACTATATTCAAGGTTCCATAAGAATACTGCGAATCTTGTGACAATTTTTGAAGCCACTAACTGTTTAGTCTCAAACCTACTAAAGCCCTTAAATAGACTACAGTACTATAAACCGTTTTGCGTAAGCTGTAACAAACTTTTACAGATCGTTCGAAGCTACCAACCGTTTTGAATATTAGATGCCATACGTTTAGTTAGTCTCCGGAACTACCATTCGTTTCGTTTAAAATATACCGAACTATTAGAGACACTACGAAACTATCGACCGTTTCATATAAAGAACACTAAACCTTTACTTAGCCTAGAGAACTATAAACCATTATGTAAAAAATATGCTGAACTATTCAGAAGTGTACGCAGTGATGAATCGTTTTGTATGAACTATACCAAACTTCTAGCCATAAATCGAAACTATTAAACGTTTCGCATGAAGTACACTGAACCTTCAGAAAACTAACGTAACTATGAATCGTCTGGTACAAAATATACGAAACCTTTAGTTAATCTACGAAGCTATGAATCATTTCGTCTTAACTAAACCAAACCTTTACTCAATATACGTAACCATCAAGCGTTTAGCACAGAACATCCCAAACTTTTCCAAAGCC